GGCTTACAAAGAGAAAAGGCACTGAGGGGTCCTCCCCACATTCTGTTGGGATTCCTCCTTCCCACCCTTCCAGGCTGCATCACCTTAGCGGAGCCACAGGTGGCAGGGCTGGCAGCTCCTCTTTTAGCTGGCACCCCCCTCATCTTCCTGCCCTTCCCCTCTCTGCCACCCATATCATGCCAGAGCAACCCCTCACACACAAAAAAGCTTATTGGCCTCGATGGCTGGTACCTTTCCAAGGTTACCACCCAGGGATCAAAGGTTTCTTTGCTTTAATCCTGGGAAATGTGCAGGTGTTTTCTAGCTCAGTCATCTGGTAAGAGTGGGGGAGGGAAATCAGCTTTCATGTTCCCGTGTGTGGAGATCTGAAGGAGATAGCTCTCCTGGGCTGAGTGAATGATAAGTACCCCATCTCCTGGGAGAATCAGATACGGCTGACGTTGGGAAGGCCTTTACAGGTGGTTCAGGCCAGTGACTACAATCCAAGGAAGAAAAACATTTGCATTGCAACCTCCATGCAGAAATTTGAAATGCGCACACACACACAATCACACAACAAATAGTTCATGAAACAATACAATATGCCGGCGGTGACTCATTCATTTCAGTTTATCACCCAGGAATGGGTTGTGACACAATTTGCCACGCACTGAATCCAGGTCAACACTGTCATTTTCAAGCTGACAGAACTATAGTTTCTCAAGATCACACCAGAGCTGGAACAGATATCCAAGGGGGTCTCTCCAATAAAGGAGGGGCCCCCATTTCCCTGAGGGTCACAGCTTTTGATTTTCCCAAAGTCTTGGGAGCACCAGCTGGAGGAAAGGGCCTGCCCAGAGGTTTGTACTCAGAGGCACTGCTGACAGGGGCCGAAGGGTTTTGCTTCCTGGGAAAACCCGAGAAGGAGGTGCAGCTTGCGGGAGTGGGACGGTTAAATCAGGTTTCGAAGCAGCCAGGTGAGGCTCCGCAGCCCCTCAGACGTTTTCCCTTATCCCCTGGGGTTCTTGGATCATCGGACGCCTTCCTGAGTTTTTTTCTTTCCCAGACACACAACTCCAGGTCCGCCTCATTTAGGAACTCACTTCCTCCCCTGTTTTCCAACTTTTTCTAATATCCTTTCCTTGTAGTTTTTTAAACCTCTACCGATTGATTGCAATTCCACCCTCTACTTTCTCTAACAACTTCTTTCCCATCAAAGTCACGATCCTAGCAATGGGTGTCAAAGAGGCAACGCTGTGGATGTTGTTTCCACAAACACTATCCTAAAAGTTCTCCAAACTAGACCCGGCGTAGCCGTGCCTTTTACCGCAATGCCCAGGGGTCAGGATTCTCAACACAAGGCATCTGGGTAGAACTGGCTCTCCCCCCTTACCCCGAAACTGTCTTCTGATCTTCCACAGATTTTCTTGAAATCTTCATTTAAATTTGCTGTTTAGTAGACTTTTAATCTTTTAAGAAAGGCTCTAAAAATGAAGAGCCAAAGCCACACAGTGCCCTGGGTAAATAAAACTCCAGCCTTCTGATGGCTTATTAGTTATACACCCTCAGAGACTATGTAACAAAGGGGCCTGCTGTTTGCTTTGCTTAATCTGGTCTTAAAATCTCGGCTTCTTTGTCAGAAAACAATATTTGCAATTGTAAAAACAATATTTACCAAGGAACTTGGATAGCATAAGTCAAAGGCTAAGAGCCAAAGGTCAGTAGTTCTTACCCCAAATTTCCCCGGCCCCGAGTCCCTGCTGAGGAGCTCAGCTGCACCAAACAAACACGCTGCTCTCGGGTCCGTGACGAAGCGGCGCTTTCAGACGGGAGGAAAGGGAAGGCTGCAGCCTGCGCGCGGACAGAAGCACGGACACTCCAGCCTGCCCCACGCAACTCCGACTGGATCTCTGTAGTGCCTGTGTCTCCCTGGGATGTTATACAGACTCGCCCTGTTTCATAAACCTGGGCAAAATGCTCAACTCATAAATCCTATGGGGCAGACAGTGCTCCCATGGACAGCAATGACAGTGTGGTCCTCGGTGGGTCAGGCTACATGGCCACCTGGGCATCTCTGTGGGCAGGGCCTCCTGCCTGGCAGTGGGGGACAGATGTGTATCCTGAACATTTCTGTGGGAAAGCTTCTCAATGGACCGAGCAGTTTGGGACCCTGTGGTCTAAGTTCATTAGTGTCTGAACCGATCTCATGTTCACTGTTTTCTGGGCAGACCTGTGATTGGACGCCTTTCCTACCTGCCAGAGGATCCAGCATCTGGGAGTGAACCACCAGAGCAGACCAGTGGTTCCTGGGTGCTTTCCCACAAGCCAGGACTCTGTGCCTTCTGAGCCCCGGGCCCATGTCATAAGGTGGAGGCCAGCGAGGCCTGGCCCCCAGTCGGGACTTGAGCACAGGTCCCTCAGCCTGCTAAGCAAGAGGCTCTGAGGTGGTGCGGAGTCCTCACCCCAGGGTCCGAGACTCACCCCTGCTCCTCACTCCAAGATCTACGAGAAGACTGGGTGGTGGCAGTTCCTACCCTGCTTGGTTTGACCTTTATTCTGTTAGAAAATTCTATAGTTCTCTCTAAGCCCCACAACCACCTTCTTCAAATTCTTCCCACAACTGCCAATCTCTTTCATTTCACCAGGATAAAGACCACTGGCCAGTTCCTCTTGACCTTTGATTCTGTCCTAAAGTCGTTCCGATCAGGAGCGTAGCAGTAATTACCACCAGCAATGGGCACCACTGAGCACAAGTGGCTTAGAGAAATGGCTTCATCCAAGCATCTTACCTTGAAGAACCAGGCCTTCCTTCTCGATGGTGTAGACAAAGGAGGCGAAGGGAGCCAGCGGGGACTTGGCGATGAGAATCTGCACATCAAGCACATTGCCCAGGGTTAGTCCAGGGAGAGATCAGAGGGGAGCCCCTGTTCAGTCCCCGTCCCACTTTGAGATAAACTGGTACCCTATGACCACAAGTCATAAGGTTTATTTGTTTTTAAAATTATTTTAGAATCAAATGAGTGTTATTCTGTCAATCAATTGATTACTTTGGAAGGCTGTACATTTATTGCAACTATTCTGTCCCTGAATGCCATATTCTTGAACCAGTTTTTCTAGAAATAAATTTCATTATTGTATGTCATGTGCTTAAACTGTTATCTTTCTGTCCAATGATAAAACTAGCCTAATTTTATTCATAAACTTAGCTATTCTACTAAAAAATTTTCCAAAGCTCCCTTAAGAGATGCACAACCCCCTCCGCCCATGACATATAATTCTTATTATTCAAAAAGTGAATGCCTATTCATGTGGAGGAAGCCTAAATGGCCATTAACTTGGCCTAAACATGCTTCCAAAGAACATGACATCCATGAAAGAGAAAAAATGAAAGAATGAAAGGACAGTTAAAGTACTGAGGAAGAAATTATTAAAAAATAATAATAAAATGAAGTGATATGAAAAAATAGCAACTAAAGTTTCAAAACATATAATAGAGAACTGAAATGCATAAATATGTCACAATGTAGTATATTTGTATACTGTAGATGAGGCCCCTAGAGCCACAAAAAATGCAAAATTTCACTGGTAATAACTCGTTCTTGAATTGCCACACTTAAACATCAAATTGCCTCCCTGTGGGGTATGTGTCCCATGTTGGGAACCACTGGTGTAGAGTATTTCTCATGGCCTTTCACTGTGGGTTTGGCCACATGACTTGTTTGGACCAATAGGTTGTGCCAGTTCTCAGCCTAGGCCTCAAAAAGCCCAATATATCTCCACTTATTCTCTGATGCCTCTGGTACTGTTGGAAAAAGAATATATCCAAGCTAACCTGCTGTCTCCGAAGGAGAGTGAGAGACACGTGGAGCAGAGCTGGCCTGCGGGCCCATCCCAAATAGTGACCCCAAGGAGACCCACAGGCGCATTGGGGGAAATGCTCATTACTGCATGCCTCTGAGATTTGGGTGTTGTCATGAAGCATTACTGCAGCAAGAGTTCACTGACCCACCAGACAACACACAATACCAAAAATATCTTGAGCAATGGCATTCTCCTAAGAAGATACCTACCTTAAAGGGGATGGTCATTTGGTCATTATCACTAACCCTTTATCACACCTCATGTGGTTCTACAGGACGTCTAAGGGCTGGTGGGTTACTATCACATTTCTCCTAAAGGAAGATGAATATCAGCTTCCTGTTCTACAAATTGATATCATCAAATATAGTGACAATTTGGCACAGAGCCACTTAGGTAATCAGGGAGGCAAGGAAGAAGGAAGAAACCATTTCAAATAACCAAAAGGCTCACATGTACTATCTCAATCTACCTCAAGTCAACAAATATTTACTGACTGTCAGCAATGAGAAATGGTGGATTAATGCGGTGAAAAGATCAGAGGTTTTAGTTGTGGAGTTTGAATCTCTGTGCCTGTGGCAAGGCTTGCGATTGTCCCCTAGTAGCCACCCCTCCCCACTCCCCCATCTTCTTTATAGTAAATAACTCCTCAGGTTTCAACATTCCTCTGCCTCTTTTGCAACCAGGTAGGCCATTTGACTAACAGAACAGGAGTGTAAATAGCAGGTAGAACTCCTGGCATATATTTTCCTAAGAAAATATGTGCTCTTCACTCTCCCTTCCCCCTTCCCAAGGGCAGGAACAGATTCAACCACATGGATGTGGACACCTTTGGGGATGACAAAGCGACCGAGGAGAAGGAAGCGGGGTGACCTCATAAAGCATCAGTGCCTCCCACCTGGGGTCACCTGTCCACCTCAGGACAGAGCAACCGTGAACCACTGCATTTTGGGGTCTTGGTCACCATGCCGCAGCCTGAATTCTAACCATTACTTTGGCTATGGACAACCTCACTTTTTTGAGTATCAGTTTCCTCGCATGTAAAATAGGGATATTACCACCCACCTAAATGGGATTATTGTGAGGATTAAATTAAGTCTATAAAATGCCTGTTACTGTGTCCAATTAACAAGAAGATTTCCAACAACTCATCATGGATACTTCTCGAGCACTCCTTAACGTTCACTCATCAACACCCAATATTCTTTGCTTTTACCAGAAGGATTTCACTTAAGTTGAATCTCAATAATTTCTACAATTGTTCCAAAGTTATCTAGATAAACTTGCTCATGGTCCCTCGGCCTGCTAAGCAAGAGGGCTCTGAGGTTGTGCGGAGTCCTTACCCCAGTGTCTGAGGCTCACCCCCGCTCCTCCCTCCAATTTGACACTACCAATGTAATAGACAGTGTCAAAAATATCTCATGTCAAAAGTATGTCACCTTTGAATTAAGGTGGAGCCTTCCTGACAGAGACAGTTGGGGATGGTTCAATGTGAAGCTGACGGAGGCGCCTGGTGGGGGGATGGCATGAGAGAAGAGAGGACAGTGCTCTCAAACTTTCATGGGTGTGAATCATTGTGGGTCTTGTTGACAGATTCTGAATTATAGGCTCAGGGTGGGGTCTGAAAGGCCGCATTTCTAACACATTCCCAGGAGGTGCTGCTGCTGTGGTCCATGGACCACATTTTGAGTAGCTGGGCTCCAGGAAACTAGCCTGATGGAAGAGCCCGAGATGGAGAAGCCAGAGTCGGAGTCCTGAAGCTGGTTAGGAGGCTACTGTGATCATTCAGTGATGAGATGACAAGGGCCTAAACCACTGCTGCGTTAGCAAGAATGTGGGAAAGGAGGTCCTTCCAGATGTGAGATGGATAGAAGATACATACACCCTTCAGATCAAAGGACAACAGAAATAAACTACATATGTCCAATAACTTCGGATCTTTATTGTCTACATGAAGCAACTGGGTACAAATAAATAATAATCAGTAAAGTACCCTAGTATATTTTTGAAAACTATATTATCATTTTTATTTTATAAACTGCAAATTAAAACCTGGGAGGGGGAAGGGATGGGGTGTGAAAGGATGTGATATTCCAATGCAACACAACAAATAACATGGGAGCCTCACGGTGCTGCTGCCAACATGACTGCACACTCTCCAGGGAGCCTAGGCCCACTCTGAGCAAGCGCAGCGCCCTGGCCGCAAGGACCTCACCTGGAGGGACCGCACATCTGGAAGGACCTCCTTCCCAGGAGATCGAGGGGTTTGGACAGGCCACTGATTAATGCCGTGCCCTTCTCAAGCAGGGTTTAAAATGGGTCATTGAAAGAATGATTTGTGTGCAGTTAGAAAAAGGAAGTGATCAGTTATGTCAGATGAACCCTACTTCCTTTCTTTTAAGGGGGAAGAGAACTCCCAGATGGATGGATTGACAGAAATGTGGTGAGGGGCAGCAACCTCTAGTAGAATGTGCTGTACTGTAGTCTTGGTTTTGTCATGTTCCACATTCTTACTGACCTGCATAGGACGCTGATGTACTCAACCACATCCATACAACAAACATGGATCCAGCAGGGAACAGAACTGACAAAAATTGTTACCCTAATAGAGCTTCTATTCTAAAGGAGGCAAAAAGATAATGAACAAAACGAGTAAGTAAAATATATGGTATGTTAGATGATTATATGTGTTAGATGATTATATAATCACATACATGGTAATATGATGGAGAAAAAAGGCAGAGAAAAAGTTCATTGGATCACATTTAAATAGAGTGGAAAGAGAAGAATTCACCGAAAAGGTGACATTTGAACTTGGGGTCATGTAAAGCCATTGATGGAATGCTGAATATGGTAACAGAAGATGAAAAATATAGAGAAACATATTAAGCAATCATACTATCACAACACATCTTAATTTGGTTAGAATATTGGAACCAATCCTACAAATCTTTTAGGATGCAATTTTATTGAAGTATATGTAAGGCCTTTTCCTTGAGAACAAGGACCAGCTACTGTCACAGAATGGGGAGATGAGATCTAGCTTTCAGAAGATGGAATGGGAGTGTTAGTGAACTACAGTGCAGTACAAGTTGGTTGTGAGATGTGGTTCACAAAAAGCTAGTGTGGTCTCCGGTTGTATAAATGGAGACAGTATCTACAGCAAGGAAGTGATGATCCGGCTCTGCTCCTCATTCAGCAAAGCATGCTGGGTGTGATGTGTCTGGATTGAAGCCCAAATTCCAAAAAGGAAACTGACAGACAGAACAAGTGGAGGCCCATCAAGGTGGTTAGTCACCCAAAGCAACCCATGACCACCAACACTTCAACACTATGGTAAGAGGTCTAGCATGAAGGTGCATATTGCTTTTAATATGAGTGTTCTGATCTGGATACTCTGTAGTGCTACCCGGCAGAGAAGGGAAGTGTGAATTAGCTTTAAGACTAAAGATTTCAGAAAGAGTGATGCTTGCCATGTATCTTTGCAACTACAGAGAGACTCTTCTGTTTCAGACTTGAATCAATACCCCATGGTCCGTGCATTTATGCCTTTCAAACTACAAATTACCTCTTCCAAGGCAAACAACCCTTCCTAGCAGATATTTTGGGCTGTTCTGTTTCAGATGTTCCGTCATGCCATAAATTTGGGGTGTTCTAATCATTGTCCGGCTTGGGCTGTTGTCAAATGTCGTTCTATCCTCTTCAATAGATAATGTCCTGCAGGGAGGGCCTGGCTGTTTAATTAAACTCTAGGACCCCAGTGAAACAATTTTATCACACTGAACCCCGTGTGCAACGTGCGAAGTTGGCTTTGGATTGCTCTGAGGATTCATGGAAATATGTAGTCGGGCAAGCACGAGTGCAGATGTGTGACTCAGAGAGCTTAGAGCCCCACCAGGCAGGTGTGCAGTATTGTGAGCCGTTAATTCCACCTCCTGCAAACAGCTAGATTGTTGTTGTCTTAATGTTTCCTTCATATCAGACCAGCCAGACGCTAAGTACACCCTAAT